GTCGTGCTGTGATGACGTCACATGCGCGCTTTCGTCGAGCGCGATTTTGTCCTCCGCGCTTTTGACGGGTCACGCATATAATATTGTTCTTATGTCAGTAAAATCACATATAGAATTCTACCAAAACTTCCCAAAACCCCAGTAAGACATTTCTAAAATGTAAAATCCAGTAAGTCAGAACCTAAAGACAAGGACTAACTTAGCTTATAATTCCTGATTTATAAGAAAAGGCAAATCAAAAGTCATTAAACTTTCTTGCTGAATTTCTATGGTTATGAAAACTGTTTTCACCACTGGGAGAAACGAAGCAGGAGCAATCAGGCAGCTGCACTGGCATGTAATTTGCAAACAACAGTGAGAATCCTGGTTCTCTATTTCAGTGTTTCTCAACCTTGGCAACTTGAAGATGTCTGGACCCAGCCAGCATTCGCTGGCTGGGGAATTCTGGGACTTGAAGTCCAGACATCTTCAAGTTGCCAAGGTTGAGAAACACTGCTCTATTTTGTGTTTTAAGTGTCACCATGTTTACTCAAAATGGTCATAAAAATGATGAAAAAATACTAACCACCACAACTGCAGAATCGTTGCTATTAAGTTGCGTAGTTAAAACTGAGAGTTCACCCAGGGAAAGAGTAAGTTTTGCCACATCAGTTACTTCAGAATTCACATCCTTAAGTCTAGTAAAGAAGCGACAAGACGGTGGTGCCAATCTCCACATCAAGCATCCTACAAAAGAATAAAAATTCAAGTAACGACTTTTAGAAAGTTATTCTTGAATAGAAATTATAGGAAAATCAAATGATGCAGCAATATTCATTCATCATTGATAATTAACAAGTGTCTCGGGAGAAAGCTAGACAAAGTACTGCAGAAATCAATATTATATAAAAAGACTCACTCTAATGAAATGAACTTAAGCACAAAATAAACACCTGACTATTAAGTTCTCTAAGCAAAAACTCATTGGTTGGCTTGCCTAATAACACAGATGCAACATTACTACGCACTTAGCAGTTTTCACTCCTATACAACCTACTTTTATATTTCTAGTCTCTTCTTTGGCTATGTTTTCTTAATATCTGGTATCTTATTCCCCCAAAGTACTAAGATTCTGATGTAAAATACTTCCATAAACACAAAATAATCACATAATCAAATAAGAACATTTAATGTACTAAATGTGTCCATAAACCACCCCTTGAAGTGAAAACATTCAATAACTTAATAGTTATTAGAAAAACTTCAAAAGATCAGCACTCACCATTGTCCTTCTGCTGAACATGGATCACTTTTTGAAAACAGGAATTAGCTGCCGAATATGCTTCCAACACCGCTGCTTTTTTTGCAATCTTTTTCTTTAAAGATTCTGGCAAACCGCTCATTAAAAATTCACGTTTTGCTTTGAACTCTGTGTAATCTTGCGAGTTTTCAGACTCATCTTCACTAATGAAAATGACAACCAAAAATAGCTTCAGTACACAGCAACTGATTACAGCAATGCTGTTTGTAAAGATCCGAAGAAGCTTACTAAGAATAATCAATGAGATCAGTTAAAAAAAAAAAGGGGGGGGGGGTTGTTGAAAACAAAAATGACCTCCCCCTGCAATGTATAACCAAAAGGGAGTTTCAAATGTTCCCTATTTGCAAGACCATAGTTAGTCCTCAATTTATAATTGCTCCCTTAGTGACCAAAGTTATAACAGTCTTCCCAAAAAGTATTTATGACTGAAGTTGTGATACGCCATCCCGCAGATATGTGTTCACATTTCAGGTGCTTACCAATGCGCCTGCATTTACAACTGTTTCCAGCATCCTATGGTCAGCCACTAGTCTAGAATGGTGTAGGGCCTTGATGGCGAACCTATGGCACGAATGCCACAGATGGCACGCAGAGCCATTTGTTAGGGCACGTGAGGAGCTGCCCTGTCAGCTGGCCAGTGCGCATGCTTGTATTGCGTCTATCAAACGTGTGTCTGAGCACTAACTGAAGCTACACATTTTTGAATCAAGAGACTTCAGGCTCAACAAATAAATACTAGCAAAATGCAATTTTCAATTTAATTTAGAGACAGAGTAACGCCCATAGTTATATCGTTATTCCATGTAATGATAATGGACTGACCTGGATTTGATAACAATAACTGCAGCATCTGTAGATTTTTTATTTTTTTTCCTAATTGCCAAAGACATTTTCTCCTTCCCTTTAAAGAAAACATATTGCTAAATTACTATTAAATTATGTATAGGCAACATTTTAGTCTTACTCTAGTAAGAGTAAGTCTTACTCAATGTAAGAGAAATGAAAATCTCTTAATTAAACATTCATTTTTATGAATCTTTCCAGGCACTATTACACAATTTTACACAGTGACAAAGGCTCCTCTAATTTTCTCTTTTTAATTACGGCTCTATCTTAGCCAGCAAATTTATGGCTGTTATTTGCACAATTACAAAGGGACAGGATTTATAATCACAGATCTTACTTTGCTTGTCTCTGTTGTAGTCACTGAACATATTGTAAACTAGCTGGATAGCTGTGCTCTGTTACAAAACTATGTGATCAGGCTCCTCTCCCTCCCCTTCTCTCCCTCAGGCTTGCCCCACAGAGACCTCTCCTATCTTATCCCCTTCTTTCCCTCAGTCTAAAACCATCAGAGCGTTTTTCAGGTGGGGGGGGGAGTAGAATGTCTAAACTGCCAGCCCACAGGCCAGATGAGTCACACGCTGGCCACATCCACGCTCAAGCGGCAGTTGGAACAGAGTTCTTTTCAGGTGGGGAGGGGGAGTAGAATGTCTAACTCCTTAGCATCAGAGTGTGTTAATAATAGTAAAAGAAATACTAATGATCTGATGGTCATTTTGAAAAATCCTTTCTTAGCGAGCACCTAGAAGCAAGAGGAACATACGTGCCCAATTTCAAGTTTGTAGGCTTTACAGTTCTGGAAATTTCATGATGCTGCGTGAGTGGTATTTTACTTTTATATATATAGATAAGTAACATTTATTACCATTTGACTTCTTAGTTGCCTTCCCAAATTTGGTTCTTTTCCCCAATACATCATTTACACTTTGGAGTTTTTTGGGATTTTCTATCTGGTCTGACACAGTGCCTGAATCCAGAGCCTGGGAGTTCTGCATAAAAACAAACATTAACAAATTATTATTACCACTCAAAGACTGGAGGAATCTTTGATTGCCTGTTGGTGATGTGTAGGTGCATACTTCATCAACTTGCTCCCTTGTTTTTTCCCCAATAATTGTTGAAATTTTCTAACTTTTGATGCATAAATCCTCTGGTAAATTAATATGTCTTTATATTTCATGCAATGTTAGTAAGGCCATGGAGCTCAGGGCACATTATAGCTCCATGGCCAATATACCACTTCACAGTTCTTTACAGCTGTCTCTAAATAATTTACAAAGTCAGAATATTTTCCCCAACAATCAGGATCCTCATTTTACCAACCTTGGAAGGATGAAAAGTTGAGTCAACCTTGAGTCCTGCCAGGATCAAATTCCTAGCAGTGAACGGAATTAACCTGCAATACTGCATTCTAACCACTGCACCACCCTGGCATATATAATAAATGTAGCAAATCATTACAAACATGATTTATCATGAACATATCAGCATATGTGTGGATCAGTTTTATCATGTTCTCTTCAAGGAGTTCTAGGCCTAAGGAACAGATGCTATCCCCATAACAAATCTGCAATGAATGAAAGGGATGCTCTCTGGTTTGAGGACTAAAGAAGATCCCAGCAGATGACTCAGTAAGACCAAAATAAACAATGGACAGCTGGTTTCTAACTGCCACTAAGAAAAAAGCCACTAAGTAAGAGCAAACATCCAAAAAATAAGCTTAAAATTGCAACCTTTCTTACAGAACAAATATCTTAATATGTGCTCTTCCTTCTTCTCCTTATTTCCAATGTTATAGTTAGTTTTGAATGAAAAAGCTAAATAATCATAATGCTGGTAACATCAATGTCCTAAGCGGTAACTTATATTGATAGGATATCTAGTTTTTCTTTCTTCTTCTCTATGTTCAATACTCTAAGGTACTTAAATAATAGAATATTAATAATTTAAGTATACTGTATTGAAATAATGTATCAAGATTTATAGTAACACAATAATATAGGTAAAAAATAATATATGGCATGCTTTCATGTTATTGTGCTCTCCAAATCTACTTATTATAATTTAGAAAACACTTGGGCTGTTTGTAAAGTTTCTATTGCTTTTTTTTGCGATAATTAAACTTCAAATGAATGTAAAATGAAACATGTAAAGCAAAGCAAGTTTATTAAGTTATTTCAAACTCAACAGGAAACATTTCAGTTAATTTCAACAGCAAAACTATGATTACATAAATCAGTGAACTCAACAGACTTACTTCTATTTTTTCTAAATGTTTCTTTTCAGCAAGAGCCCGCTGTCTGGAAGAGCGTCTTAAAGATATATGGAATGCTTCTTCCATGGTTCTTGATATTCGATTATGCTGTACAGCCTTTGCTTTCTCAACCAATTTCTTTGCTTTGAAAATATTACTAGAAGTTGAATTCATCTACCACAAAAATAAAAAATAATTAACAGCTGTGAGCTGAAATACATGCACTCATTCCTAACTGTGTTTTTCCTTCCTATAAGATACCTCTGACTATAATGAACTGTATTAATGCTACATATTAAGTAGACATCTGATATGGTGCAAAACATGAAAATAATTAGATAGTTATAACAAATGTGTACATTGCACATACCGTATTTTTCAGAGTATAAGTTGCACCTTTTTCTCTCAAAAGAGGGTGAAAATCTGGGTGCGCCTTATACACCGAATACAGTATTTTTTTTGCCTCCAGAAACCCCAGCCCCTTCACCAAAATGGCCATGCATAGCCTTTAGGAGGCTTTCAGATTGCTCCTGGGGGTGGAGGCGAGCAGAAATTAGCGAAAAATGGAGCATTTTTGCTCAATTTTGCTCTCTCTGGAAAAAAAGAGGCCAGTTTTCATGAAAAACCGGTTGATTTTTGCTTGTTTTTGCCCTCCCTCCCCCTCCGCCCAGGAGCAATCTACAAACATCCTAAAGGCGATTCATAACGTTTTTTGAAAAAAATAAACCTGGCCCGTTTTCACGAAAAACAGGCAGTTTTTGGGAGGTCTGCAGATTTTTTTTAAATTTGCCTCTTCAAAATCTTGATGTGTCTTATACTCAGGTGCTTCTTATATGGTATATACATATACAAATTTCCAAACATTCTACTGAAGGAGCCAGTATACTCATTTGCAAAATGTCTAAGTGCAGCAAGTTCAGTAAATGCCTCAAATTTGCTTTCATTACTCTGCCCATTCATTCTCTAAGTATATTATTTGACCACAAGATAATGCACGTAATTGAAAATTTAAGTTACATGATCATAATAATGGCAATCTTAGCTTAGTGTAAATATTTTCCATGAAGTGTGAAAATAGGCCTGTGTAAACTTATATTTTTCATGGGTTTAAGAGGCTTAATTTTCATACGTCATTCAAAGGTCATTTTCACATTTGAAATCCAGCTATCTAACCTTAATTTTTTACAGTGATGCTTCAAGGGTTACTTTCATTCAGATTTATCATACCTTTACATTCTGATGCGCAGATCTGTCTGAGGTATTAATTCGGGTGAACTTCATCCTATATAAAAAAAAAACCCCACCCCATAATGTTAAACTTTTTAAAGAAATGCAACTTTAGTATGTTTTGAAACCCTGATAAGTTTCTATTTCCAGACAAAATTATGTAACAATCATTACTTTTACTCTCAAAATATTAGGGGATTAGGGGACTGGAGGCTAAAACATATGAAGAACGGTTGCAGGAACTGGGTATGTCTAGTTTAATGAAAAGAAGGGCTAGGGGAGACATGATAGCAGAGCTCCAATATCTCAGGGGCTGCCACAAAGAAGAGGGAGTCAAGCTATTCTCCAAAGCACCTGAGGGTAGAACAAGAAGCAATGGTTAAAACCAATCAAGGAGAGAAGCAACTTAGAACTGAGGAGAAATTTCCTCACAGTTAGAACAATTAATCAGTGGAACAACTTTCCTCCAAAAGTTGTGAATGCTCCAACACTGGAAGTTTTTAAGAAGATGTTGGATTACCATTTGTCTGAAATGCTATAGGGTTTCCTATCTAGGCAGGGAGTTGGACTAGAAGACCTCCAAGGTTCCTTCCAACTCTGTTATTTTATTCTATTCTATTAATATGTAAAAATAACATTACCTAATTGGGCTGTTTGAATCAAAGGGCTCAGTTATCACTTCAGCTGTATACAAGTCATTTTTAAAGGATCGCTTTGTTTTAGGAGTCGAAGTCTGCAGTGGGCAAGCATCTGGTGGATTTTCAGTAACAGGCTGTGAAACCATGGCTTTTTCTGGTGTACTCTGGCTTCTCTTTTGCCGACAATGTCTTCTCAATCTTTTACTTTTTTGAGAAAATTCTTTTTCTTTCTCAGTTGGTGTTGTCCTATTAATTGGACCATGGGCATTATTATTCTGGTTATCATTAATATTGAAAGCCTTCTCTTTTGCTTCCACTATGCCCTTCCGCTTTTTGGATTTATTTCTTACTCTGGTGCGATCACATTTTTTCATAAGGTCATGGTCAGGGCCACTATCATAAGCCATCAATGCATTATTTGCAGGTTTTTGGTTAGACTCATCTTCGCATTCTTCCTCTTCTAATTTGTGGCTTGCTAGTTTTTCTTCAACATCTTTCTGCTTACTAGGTCCCCTTTTAGCTCCATTTTTCACGACATCTGCCCCTGGCTGCCTAAAAGCTTTCATAAATTGGTATCGTTCTTCTGCTTTGCATTTCGATTTCACAGTCTCTGAACCTGCACTTTCTAATACTGCCAGTTCTAACTCCTCTTCCGCAATCACCACATTGGACTTTCTTTTTTGAGTCACCTGTTCAATATACTCCATTTCTGAGGAAGCTGAACTCTTTTTTACTTTGGCTTTCCTTTTTGGGTTTACAAAAATAGAGGCAATTTTCTGGGACCGGAGAGATTTTGGAGGGACAGAATGAATTTGGGCGAGGACAGTCACTTTCTTAAGTGGCAAATCTTGAGTATCTTGATCAACATCTGTTTTATCCAAGGCAACAAAATCATCAGGTGTCTGTTTTCTTGGAATCTGTTCGAAGTCTTCTCCTTGGCTTTTTAAGAAGTCTTCAAATGATACAGTGACAGTATTGTATGATGTCACTGGTGCTCTAGGCTCAGGATCCAGAGTAAGCACTACAGTTTTATTTTCTGATTCAGTGACAGACGCAATTTGTTTATTAGTTTCTTTATGTGAATCATTTGTCTGTGTCTCAGGGATAGAATTTTCAAACAAGTCCATTTCATTCTTAGGCTTTCTTCTTTTTAATTTTTTTGTATTGCTTTTTATTATTTTAGATTTTCTTTCCTCATTCTTATAACTAACTTTATTGAGAAGGCCTTCACCACAAACATTTAATGCCTGTTCTTCATTTGTGAGGTCAATCAATGCAATATCATTGTGATTCATGAAACTAGCCTTAGAGTTTTCTTCTTGTGGATTGGGTGTTTCTTTATCATTATCCTTATTCACTTCTACCAAAGGCTCAGGCGTTTTATCAGTTTTTAATTTATTATTTAATTTATTCCACTTTCCTCTTGACTTAAGTTTCGATGGAGGCTTTGAAGAATTTTCCAGCGATACTACGTTTGCTTTGCTTTCTTGATCCAGTAGAGGTGATGGAGCTTTCTCATTTATAGAAGTTTTTTTAAAATAATCCATTATATTATTAGACTTTGGTGGTGACAATACACTCTCAACATTTTTCCCCAATGGCGAAAAATAATTGGTAATTGCTTTAATAGAAATGTTGTCTTCCTTCCGTTTTGTACATGACTATAAAGAAAGAGTGTAGATATAAGTACAATAAAATGCAAATGTAATATCTCATCAAGGTGATATTCACTTTGGAATTGTTTTTAAAGATTTTCAGCATATAACTCACAAACCCATGGCATTATTTTCAAGTGTTGCACAGTGCTTTGGATTTACGACCACAAAGATGTTTTAAAACATTTGGGGACTGCAAACATCACATATTTTTGCAGCTTAAAGTATATATTATTTATTTCAGACATGTCTTCTTGTTAACAGGCAACACATTCAGGCTTTAATTTGGAGAACCTAGACCAACTTCCAGCTGAACTATTAATGCCAGTGCACAAAAATGAAGAAAAAACTGGACAGACATATAGTGTAGATAATCATTGACTTTTGTTTAGTGACCCATTCAAAGTTACAACCACACTGAAAAAAGTGATTTACAGCTGGTCCTCACATTTACTACTGTCACAGCATCCCCACAGTCATGTGATCAAAATTTGGGTATTTGGCAATCGGCATGTGTTTACACTGGTTGCAGCATTTCTGGCTCATGTAGTCATCATTTGTGACCTTCCCAGCTGATATCCGACAAGCAAAGCCAGTGGGAGAAGTTGGATTCCCGTAACAACTACAGGGATTCATTCAACAACCATGGCAAAAAAGGACATGAAATTGAGCACGAATCACTTAATTGCTTAGTTGCCTTGCTTAGCAATGGAAAACCTGATACCAATTGCCATTGTAAGTTGAGGACTAGCTTTTGTATTACAGCAGATTGCTTTCCTAATTTCTTTTTCATGAGTCAAGAAGAACAAAGTAGCCATGCCTATTTAAACAAAAATATGGATGGGAGCACAATCTGGCCCTTACATCTGTCACCACATCGATGGCCAGGGTTGACTTAAACAAAATAAAACCAGTGAAACAGGTCAAGGATAAGAAAATGTCCTTAAATAAGAAATACAAGGTTCTACTAGAATCATTACCGGGCTTCAGATAAGAACACAATTTCTATACTGTGCAAAGAAATATTGACAACTATAACTAGTTTAATTAACTTTCCAGTATTTCTTGTCTGACACTAAAATCCTAAAAAGAGGACCACATTACTACAGTCTTTAAATTCCACAGAGCTAAATCCCGATGGCCCTTCTTGAGTGTCCGGGTTGGGAATTACAGTATGGAGAAAGACCAGAAAGACAAGTTGCCTCTTGAAAAAAGCAGCTTTGGGACACCAGTGACCTGTTGGATGACTGGAGACTCTCCATATAGACAGTAGGCAGAAAGAGTTCCTTGGAAAGTTAGCAAAAGAACAGTAGAGTTTGACACCTCCTCTCTCTAACCTTGGACTTCGCAACCCAAGGATCAGCTGCCAAAGATCCTCGGTTTTGGGAGGGATCGCAAAACCAAAGAGTGCGTCCGCTAAATGAGACACGTGAAATCAACAGGCTAATACAGGCAAAAAGACCATTTCATTCCCGCCTTAAAATCCAGATTAACAGGCAAAGATTGCATGCATATATTAAAGGGGAAGGCAAGAAGGTGTCAAAAGGTTAAAGCCGGTACAAAGACATCTCGGCATCCCAACCGCTTTCCCCTCCGCGCTCAGGCGAGCAAAAGCGCGGAGATCGAAGGGTGTCCCCGTTCTTCTCCCCTTGCTCTGCCTGGCGTCCCTCTCCTCAGCGTTTACCTGGGCAGCCCCGTCGGTCGGCGAAGCGGTAGCGGCCGCGAACACGGCCATCTTCCCTGCAAGAAAGCCGCCTGCCGACGGCTCCTATCCGCCATTCAGCGGGAAGAGGAACCGAATCGGAAATTCCCGCGCGAGAAATACAATCGGGCAAACCAGAAAAGACCGCGCGAGAGGCGGGGAAGGGGGAGGGATTTGGAGCGCCGCGACGCTTGGGAGGGAGGGGCGTGCGCTCTCGGGAAGCACGTGACAGGAGAGCTCTGCCAAGGCCCGCTCGTTGCCGTGTTCTATGTCACGTGACCCTCTTAAGCCAATTAGAGGAAGGCTCTTTCCGGCGGGTCGATGGGCGGGAGGGGGGGAGCAGGGAGGAGGTTTTGCTTTGTTTTCAAGGCATAAAATGATTAAAAGGCTGTTTTGAGCTGAATTCGACTCCTGGTGGCCGTCTAGTAGTTCATTCTTTCGCTAGCAATATTGGAAGTGAGTGCATTGCACTATGTTCTTCTAGGATGTTGCTTTTAATTCATGGTTTTATTTCATTTAATTCAAACATAAATCATACCAGGATACTAAGTAAATTTATATTGTTTACTTAGTATCCTAGTATGAACTATGTTGATTGCTTATTAAGTATCCATGACAATCACTAAATGTTGTATCTATTGTTTTATGATGAATGCATTTTTAAAATGATTACGATAATGATCTATCACAATTGTGATCACACTGAGAGCGTATGCACAGAAATGACAAATTCCTTGTGACAAATTCCTAATTACACTTGGCCAATAAAGAATTCTAATAAAGAATTCTAATTCATTGTTTTCCATTAGGATAAATTTCTAGAGAGAAAGCCATATTTATATTATGTAGAAAACTAATGTAAAATCTTGTAAATGTGCCTGAAAAGTTTCCAGAGCCTTAGGTATGGCCCTCAGAAATTTGTAGTGAAATTATATTATTTCACTAAATTTATGACAGCATGCATTAAAACCAGCATAGTGTAATAGGAGCAGAGACAGGTTCAAATCCACCCTCAGCCACAAACTGGGTGACTTCAGAGCATAATATGTTAGTTACATAGAAGAATCAGAGGAGGGACCATTATGGTTCATTGCACAGTCAGCCAGATGCTCAGATTGGATTCTTTTATCCACCTATCCAATCTTTCCCAAAGATCTGGGATAGCCAGATATTGATGTTTGATGGTGTTTAGGAGTATCATCACAGGACATAAACCTGTTCCAAGTAAAGCTGCCTTTTGCAATTGACTGGTGGTGAATTTGTTTCAATTATTGTTATATATACAACAATGTTGAATCAAAGCTGCTTGTTCTTTAGCTGGTGTTAGCCTTCATACACATCAAATTATTCCCAGGAAGTTGGGATTTAGTATCAGCATAGTAGATATATAGATTCAACTTGTATAGCCTTTTGTAATTGACAGATGGAATTTTTTTTCAATGTACAGATTTTCTAAGTGCTGTCCAATACTTTTTGGTAGGGCACCCAGTGTACTGACAACCACTGGGACCACCATAGGCGTCATACCATGATCTTTCAGCTTTGATTTTTAGATCAAGAAGATAACAAACTTGGGGGTCACTCCATGTCAAGTGGTCTGGGCTCCCTGCTCAACTATCACAGATTTCGATGAAATTTTGTGTGAACATGCATACACGTTCCCAATAAACATGAGTAAAGTGTTAGGTGTGCCAATGCAATACTTGCGGAGATATAGTCATTTCAAAAAGGCAAATCTCTGACTTCCTTCTTTCCTTAAGTTTTCTCCAAATATAATAGTTTGACCCCATAACACAGCCTTCTACAGTATAACCTTGAGGGTTCAGCAACTTTGAGACATAATATCTTTGGCAATACTTAGTTGAGAGAAACAAAACTTGGCCATCTTGTACAACTTGTGTTTTATTAAACAAAATAATAAAAGCATTTTCATGAGCGATTTCCATCTAGATAAGTTGGAGCAAAGTTGGCCGAAAATGACTGCGGCTCGAAAAAAGATTAAAGTTTGGCTTTTTATATCTCTGGAAGGAAAGGTATGAGAAACATAAAACTGTGCATAATAACTTAGCAAACAAGGTTTTCAAACATAAAATTTCAATTTCTTACTGCTTTCCAATAGTTCACAAATTGAGTGTAAAGTTGATAGTTTTTGTAAAAATGCCAAAAACGGTATTTTCAGCTTGCTTTTACAAAAAAAAAAAAAAACCTTCTGGAAACGCTGTTAAATCATTTTCATTAGAGCATGTTTCAATCCCCCTAAAAAAGTAGGGTTGATTTTTCATCTCTGATGTATAAAGCCCTAAAAATAGGAACAAAGTTGAGGACGTATGGCAACATCACGTGCATTCTATTATTGTTTCGTCTTTTTTAGTTTATATAGACATCATTACTACTATTATATTACATTGGTCCATGGTGACATTGTCACTACCAGTTCAGGCACTTGAACTAGCAACCCCATCACCATTGTACGGCCCCATAGCCATGCAATACTAGCCACAGGTGGGTTTCATAGTTCAGGATCCCAAGCCTGTAGTTTGGTTTCTTCCTCAAGGTTTCAAAGCCATATGTGGGTAACTGTCTGGTTCCCAAGCTGACAATTGGGCAGGTTATCCTAGGTTCCCAAGCCTAAAGTGGGTATCTTAATAAGAGCCGAGGTGGCGCAGTGGTTAGAGTGCAGTACTGCAGGCTACCTCAGCTGACTGCAGTTCTGCAGTTCGG